CCAGGCTTTCCACCTGTGTGGTGAGTGTCAATTTGGCCATCACTAACCACCTGACTCGCTTCTCCAGAAGAAATTTCAGTCCTCACTTCCCAAGAGAATGCCTGAAATTAGAAAAGCTGAGGACGCCTCGGAACACCATTTCTCATCGTTGCTACTTTGTACAGCATCCAGCATCCTCAGCTCCTTGCCCAACCACCTTCCTCCAGGGTCCTTCAACTCTGAGACACAGAATACTTGAAGTTTTCCAAGAGCTTCATTTTCTTCCAGGAATTCACCTGACTGTAGACTCCTATTTTCCCTGAGCAAGGGAAGAGGAGCCTTCAATCAGCTCCCAGGAAGATGACAGCATCTGCTTGGGGATTCCAATGAGATGTTTTACTGTAGCTTTTCACAAACTGATTATAGTTAAAGCTCCCTTGGGGAGTGGGGGCTGGAAGGGAAGCAGCTTCGGAAAAGACCTTCATTGACATGAATCAAGAACCGCTCAAACCTCCCAAGGGAACAAGTTGTTTAAATACCAGCAATCCACATTCCCAAATGGATGTGCACACACAATACATCTAGTTTTAAATTTCACCCCCTGCTCCGAAAGGGTCCTGAAAGAGTTAAATTGTTCCAGGCAAAGGCCTAAGGCTTTTCTATCAAAATGCTCCAGATGGAAATTACAAAATTTCACTGCTTAGCTCCATGGTGCGGTGCACACTCACTGTTCTTCTAAAACATAAAAAAAAAAAAAAAAAAAAAAAAAAAAAAAAAAAAAAAAGACAAGACAAGACCCCTAATGTTCTGCAGAGAGAGAATTTGACTGCTCAGCACAGTGCCACTCTGTTTCAGATTATTTCTCCTGGAATATTTGCATGAACTGTCAAATCTCAAGCCTTTTTGGGGACTGGAAAAACTCAAGGTGTGGAGGGGGTAAAGGAAAAGGGGTCTTGGACAATAAAACCAGGACAATGACTGGGACTGTATGCAGTGATATGAACCCACACAAAAACCACCCAGATGATTGTCTCTGGAACCATACACCTTACCCCCTTCCACTGTTCCAATCCCAAAGAGGCTAAAAGGCTAGAGGCCAAAAGGCCATGAATCTGACCAGGGTTGTCAAGAATTTTCAGAGATTAATGTACGTGAAAGAGCTTTGCAAACTGGAAAGAATCACGTAAAAGCACCACGAATATTATTGCTCTCAAGTCAGACATTGAGAGGCATGAACTTTCAAAGGAATCTGAACACCCACAAACGAGAAACAATGATGGTTTTAAAGAAGGCGGCTACAAGGCAGACTGACTGAGAAGGCAAGCCCCTCATAAAAGCAGATGGGATGGTGTTAGGCCTGCAGCCTCGGAAGTCCTTAGGATACATGCAAGCAAGTGGTTTGAAGGGAGGCAAAAATCATGATAGACTGGGTCCCAAAAGTCCATTTAGAGTTCACTTGCCTCAAACCGTTCTGATTGAAAAGCAGGACCCAGGACTGTGGTCAAATGCATAGACGCCAACAGCAGCCAACAATTAGACAGTGTGCGTCTTTGTTTTATGGGTCTAGAACAGCGATTTTTCAACCAGTGTGCCGCAGCACTCTGGTGTGCCACAAGAATTTTTAAAGCAAGCAATACCATTTAGTGAGGGGCACTGACTTCTTTTCCCTTCAACTGTCAGATTAAAAACTAACAACAGCCAACAGAATAATAGCCATCTGGTGTGCATGAATGGAAATTATACTTTTTTATTTTGTCAGATTGGCAAAAGAATATGTTTTTGGTGTGCCACAGAGTTTTAGTAATTAGCGTTGTGTGCCAGGAGATGAAAAAAAATTGGAAATGGCTGGTCTAGAGGGTTTAAGTAACTGGCCCAAGAAACATTTCGCTACTATGGGAGAAATTCACAAGAACTTGAATTTCATTCCTAGACTTGTTTCCTATCCTCTAACTGCAGGCCCTTTGGGAATGCATAGGCAAACAGGTCAACAAGAGGAAAGGTTAGCTAACAGAAAGCAGACTGTGCTATTACTAAGTACTTATAAGTGCCAGATACTGTGCTAGATGAGTTACACATACTATCTCACTGAATCCTAACAACTACCTTAGAAAATGCACATTATTTCCCAAACTAGGAAACTGAGGCTCAGACAAGTCATGCAACTGGCCCAAGGTGCGATCGAGGCGAGTGGCAGAACTGAGATTTAACCTGAATCCCTTAAACTCAAACACTTGGGACCTTAATCACCACACCAAAACAACAGTTTTCTTTATTGTGTTGGCATTTAGAAGAGAAGTCAGACTGGCAGCACTATGAGTCCCAGGAAAATATTATTCTGATAAGGGCTTCTAGCTAAAGGGGAGAAGAGCTAATCCAGAACGTTCTTTGTCTCCAAGATCGAAGCTCTTCCATGGAGACCAAGGGCTCTAGAATGTAAGCTCCAAAGGGGAGGAGCTTTTGGCTTGTTGACTGCTACATCTCCGGTCCCAGATCACATGGAAGGAATTCAATAAATAGGTGATGAATAAAGGAATGGAGTCAATCTGCTGGGTGACCTTGGGAGTGGGGGAGCTTGTTATCCTTGCTAAACCTGTTTCTTCGTGCAACAAATAGAGAATGAAATAATATCCACCTCCAGAGTTGATAGGAGAATTAAATGAGACAATTCTTATAAAGCAGGCTGGAACATAATAAGCACCCAAAATGTAATCTATTATTATCATATTACTACTAGTATTCATTGACAAATTTTGACTTCCTAAGATTCCCTCCCCTACTGTGGTCAGATAATGTTTCATAGTCAATATGAATATAATAAAATAAAGAACTAGGTGTTGGTAACCTGCTTCTAGTTTCAAATCTACCACTGCCTAGCTTCATGACCTTGGACAAGCCTCTTTAATTTCTCTATACTCTTCGCAGCTATAAAATGAGGGACTAAAACATTCAAATCAGTTTCATAAGCATTTATTGGGCACCTTCTCTGAATAAGACAACACGCTCAGCCACCTATAAAATCTATGAATAGTGTCGATGAAAAACATATCAGAGCAAAGCAAAACAGTCCCCCGCTTGGTAGCAAGGTGAAGGAGAAATCCCAAATAGCCAACTTCATTACGTCATCTCAAGGAGCAATGTTTGTAAATACACAAAGTGTTTAATTTTGAGACATTCGTGAGAAATCCTTCCCCATTAAGGAATCAGCAGATACAGTTCTATTAACACCTATCAACCCTGAACCTTCAAAAAAAAAAAATAAACATGTGAAATCATTTTTGCACCTTAAGTCAAATGGCATGCTTCTGGAGAGAAATCTGGGAAAGTCAAAGTTATTCAAAGCTCCCTATGGCAACAGTTAAGAATAGGATGTGTAAAAAAAAAAAAAAAAAAAAAAAAAAAAAAGAATGACATATCTGGTTAAAACTACAGGGTGAAAGGTGGGGGATGGGAGGGAATTCCAGAAGCAAAATGCAGTGCATCTGGACAGGACATGGAGGTAGTGGCCTATTGTTTACAAAAACAGGCTTGGATTATGAACAGTGACAAGAGGCCAAGACCTCAATTATCATTCACAACCACACCTCTCCCAATCCCAGTTCAACCGAAGCTATCAATCAGTCAACACCCCCACCAATATTTGTAGCCAAGTGGAGAGAAGGTCTCCCAGGGTACCTCCAGCGCTGACCCAGCTGATGACATTGAAAAGATCCCACAGGCACAATGGGGACTTCCAACTACCTCCAACCCTAAGGTATAAGACAGCTGCCCATTTCAAACTCTCAGCTCTGCCCCACCCCAGCAACCATTACAGGGGAGACATGGCCTTTTCCAAGTCTTCTGTGATAGGAAAAAAGTCTCCTTGAATTGGTGCAGGGAACGGAGGGGCCCCTCCCTCTGCACTCTGAAACAAAGGAAAACCAGAGCTCCCACCATGTGGTGTAACATTTGAGGCCACCCACCTCTCCCATTCCCCAGCTGAGGAGGTCTCAACGGGCTAGAGCCACATGGCTCTTCCCAGTCACCCGCCAGGAAGGGACAGTGCTTGGCACAAACACATGCTGGGGCTCCTAATGAGGGGGGAACCCCTCCGATAGGAATGGCTGGTTTAAAAAAGAAAAGGGGCTTTGATTCACAACCACACCTCTCCCAATCCAAGTCCACTAGATGTGAAGACAGGTCCTTTGGTCTTTTCGGATCCACATTTTGCTTTCCCCTTCACAGTTTTGCAGGTAAGTGGGTCATTAAAAGCATGTCTTTCAGAGCAGAGGGTGACCATGCAGAAAATGAGACAATTATGTCTTCCCATCCTCCAGAATCAGCACCACCCAGCAACCCTAACATCCCAACTCCATTCAGGTTTAGGTGAGGGCGGAGACCGAGTGTGAGTGACCTTATTCTTTCTGTTCTCTGATCTTTGGCTGAATGCAGGGCAACCAGAGACCAGGCAGGCACAAGGGGCATCCCAAGTGGCTACAGACTTTGTGTGTCCGATGCCATAGCCAATGTCACGTTTGGATAGAGTGCATCAGGAAAAAAAAAAAAAAAAAAAAAAAAACACCTCTCTCAGGGCTCTCCAAAAGGTATACATTCTCAAGGTTGCCTTTCTCTTCCTGGACTCCTCTCCAACCTCGGGAATAAATTCCCCAACACCTGTCAGATTTCAGGAGTCCTTCAAGCAACCTGACCCAGACAACCAGAGGCAAATTGCCGCCTTTCTCTCTCCGAGCACCTCCCGCCCCTCCCCCCAACCCTTTCCAGCTTGGGAGAAAGGGCTGACAAAATAATGGCCAGCTCTACAAGAACAAACCCAAAAGCCCCCTCTGAAAGCCCCTTTCCTGAGCCCGTAGCCCCTGGCACTGCCCATCTCTCCGAGGCTCAGATCTACCTATGAAACCACCTCTGGGGTCAGCCTGCCCCCACCTGCTCCACCCAAAGAAATGAACCTCCTGCAAATCAGGGTGGAAATACATGCCCCCATGGACCACCCAGCATAGGCATTACGCTATTTTTCCAAGCCTTACCTTTGACCTGAGTATCGTACTCTGCTATGATCTCCTTATCCTTTTTGAATTTGGCTGGAGACGTCATGTTTTCCTCCTTTCTTCCAAATTCGAATCGTGAATTGATAGATCCACGGAAAAAAATCCAACCACCTCAATCAATACCTCCACGACCGCTTCTCCTGAAGGCAGAAGGGGCCCACCGCGGTGGTCTCCAGCGCTCCGGGGAGCGCGGGCTGCGGGCTGGGCAGGCGGCTACGGCGGGCACATGCAGCCGGTGGGCTCTGGGGCCGGGCGCGGCAGCGGCTGGTTCCTGTGCTAGAGAGCCCGAGCCGCAGGCTCAGCATCAGCCAGGAGAACTGCAGCGCCCGGAGGTTGGCCTGGGGTCTGACATCAACGGCACAGGCGGGGAGTGCAAGTCCATCCGCACAACATGGTGTGGGGGGTGCGGGGGTGTGGACGCGCCCAGCAGAGTCCCCAGGAGGGAGTGGGTGCGTGTCGGGGTGCCGGAGGAGGGCTGGGCGTGCTTCGCGGTTTTTTTTTGTTGCACGGGCTCTCCAAGATGCTGCAAATCAAATCCCAAACGGGAGCCGCCGCAGCAGCACGGACTGGATCGGAAGTCGTTTGCTCCGGTTCACTTGTCTGTAAATGCAGGGATAAGGGGAGGGGGGGTGATCAGCACCAGAGCAGATTCGAATCGCTGCAGGGGTGGGGTAGGGGACGACACTCCCAGCCCGGCCCAGGCCCATTCATCTCCGACCAGCGCCGCCCGGCCGGCCAGGAGAGCTCGGCGAGGCGGCGTGGGGAGGAAGGAAGCTCCCTCCGGATTCTGTTCTAAGGCTGCGAGAGAACACTTCGGAGCAGCCGCCTGCGCAGGCTTCGTTCGGGTGGGGACTGCGGCGGGAACGCGGGGCTCCGGGCGGGGACTGCGGCACTTCGGCGGCCTCCCGAGCCCCGCCAGCGCTGGGCAGCGGCCAGCCGGAGGGCCCCCGCCCTGCCCAGCCTCCGACGCGGCCCCTGACCCCCCCAGCGGGGTGACTCCCTGGACATCAAAGGGGATCAAAGCCGCGAAGGAACCGGCCACCGGGGCACAACTTTTCTTTCCCCTCCCGCCCCTCCTCCCAGTTGTTTTGTTTTTGGTTACTAGCTTCCCTTGGCAGCAAAAGGTTGGGAGGGTGGGGGGGAGGTGGATCTGCAGGAAAAAGCCTGCCCGGCAAGGGACACAGGGACACATCCAGGAAAACAATGTGGTCGGCAGAAGCAGGAAACGGGTTAGAGGCGAGGGTCGGACTCGGGAAAATCGGGAGCGGGCGGGGGGGGAGGGGACGGAAGGCAGCCGTTGCCCTGCCCCAAGCCAGGGATGAGAGTGACTCTGAATGCCATCTCCAACATTTTTTTTGTCACCCAAACCCAGAGATCCCAGGCTGGGGGCGAGGGGGAAGGGATCCGTGACGATCGCAGACCCAACTTACTCGCTCCGGGAGGTGCCCGAGGGAGATCCCGCCCGGGGGAAGAGGGAGGGAAGCCGGCGGGAGCTCAGAGCTCGGCGCGCCGCAGCGGCCACCCTCCCTCCCCGGCCGCCCCTTCCCCTCTCGGATGCCGGGAGCAAGAAGAGGCTCCCGCCAGCGTCTCCCGCTGCCCGCGCCCGGAGAAAGGGCCTCGGGGGGCGAGGAAGAGGGAGCAGAGGCAGCGAGGTGGTTCGGGCGAGCGAGCAGGAAGCGGGAGGGAAGGAGGAGAGGTGGGGTCCCGAGGCTGCACGGGAGCCGCACACCCTGGGAGGACGAGGAGAGGGGAAGGGCAGGGTTACCTTAAAGGTGAGGGGGGTGAGGGGAATTAGGGGTCTATCGCGGCCCGCGAGGTTGCATGAAGCGCAGGGATGTTAGCAATTTCGGGGACCCACTGATGGGGTTTGGGAGCCGGAGTGCGAAGAGGAGCCATCGGGGCGGGCCGGGGGCTGGGACCCGGGAAGAAGGGCCCCGGAAGCAGCGCGGGACACCCCTCCGGGTCCAGGGCTGTACGGCGGCTGTGGGCCAGGGCCCGGAGACGGGGTACGAGGGCAGCTGATGGGGACGGGTGTTGCCAAGGAAGGCTGACCCCAAGCTGGACCGAGGCTGTCCGGCTGCAGAGAGCCTGGGGAGGGGCCTGGGAGCGGGTTTGCGCGGCGGCGGGAGCGAGGAGGGCACAGCCCAAGCGGTGCGGGGAAGGGCGGAGGGAAGCCGTCCAGAGGAGTGTCCGGGGCTGTACACAGAGTTTGGGAGAGGATCGCGGGGGGGAGAGGGGGAAGGTCTGAGGGACTCGGGGCGGCACCGCTAAAGCGATGCAGCAGCAAAGCAGCATCTTGCGCCCTCCTCTCCTTTCCGCCCCAACCCGGGTTTGTTCCGTCAGGGCTGTGGTCCCGCGGCCGGGAAGAAGAAAGGGGAGAGGGAAGGAGCCTTTTACCTTTGGCTCTGACGCGACGGGTCCCAGGCCCCCGGGTCCGCTTTCCACTCAGAGTTCTCCTGCCCTCGCTTCCCCGCCACCCGCTCTCCTACGCAGATTGGTCCCCTAGTCCCCTCAGGAGCCTCCGCCAACTCCGCGGGACCCCGCCGGGAAGCAGGACCCACCCCTTTGCCAATCACCGCCCTCATTCTATCGACCGATAGGGCTTGCAGCCAATAGGAATGGCTGATCCCGAGAGGCCAGGAATGAGGAGGCGGGACTGGCGAACCCTGGGGGCGTGGCTAGCACTCACCGAGGCGTAGTCAAGGGGTAAGCCCCGCCCTCAGAGCCCTGGGGCCGAACCCTAAAGTAGAATTAGTGGGCGGGACTAAGTTGGAACTAACTACCAAACGCGAATTCTTGAGAAAAGGGGCGACCAATTGGACAGGGGCGGGGAGGAGGGGCGTTGGGGAGAATTTTAGCCAATAGAGAGTAAGAGACCAGAGTGGACTGTGGAACGTCATCCAATAAGAAGCGCAGATGGCGTCCAAGCTTCTTCCCCTAGAGCCGCGGAGTAGGCCCGCCCAAACCTCCAGAAGCTCGCCAATGAGGTCGGCGGCAGCGCCACGCTCGGCCAACCAGAAAGCGGAACCGATATCCGCACCGTTACTGGGGCGGGGCGAACGGCCCTCTCGCCACTAAGATCCCGTCTGCGGCCACCGAGCCTTCCAATGCGGGGCGTGGGCGAGCTCTAGTTCTCCCAATCGGTGCGCGGCGATGGAAATTCAAACTGACAGCCGGTTCGGAAAGGCAGAGAGAGCGGAAGAGCAGGCAGAAAACGACGCGTTCGCGGATCGAGACCCTAAAGTCAACTGAGCCCCCCAAAGCAAGCCCCATCATCACCGCCACCGCCGCCGCCGCACGTTCTGGAGCGGCCACCCCAGGAGAAGCCTCGAGGGAAGGCCGCGGGGAACGGGGGGGGGGGGGGCACGAGGGGATCGGGGGCTACCGCGGGAGAAGCGAAGTGGGGAGCTGGCTGGAACGGGCCGAGCGGCGGAGGATCGCTGAAGGATCGCAGAGAAGCAAGGACCCTCCTCCTCCCGGTGGGCAGGGCTCCGGGGACCTCCGAATCCTGGGAAATGGAGAGAAAGATTTCCTGAAAGAGGCGTGGGTAGGGAGGCAGTCCGCAACCCGACGAATAGGAATTGGTGCTCTCCGAGGGAGGGGCTTGGGAGAGGAGAAGCTTTAAACACCAGAGAATTGCTAAAGGAGGGGGAGCCAGCGGGGAGGATCCTTTTAGGCCGGAGGGAGGGGAAAGCGGCCGAGAAGTTCCCGAGGCCCCTAGCAGCTGGGCCCTCCCCACTTCAAACCTCTCCCCCTTCCCGGAAAGTTAAAAGGAAAGCCAAAATTGCTGCTGCTGCTGCTGCTGCTCTCCTTGTTCCTGCTCAATAAACATTACTTTTCCTTCCCAATTTTAGGGCTCAGCAAAGCTCGAGGCCTCGCAATTTTAGGTTTAGCCCCGGGGAATCCACCTAGGAAAGGTCTTGCTCTCGGTTGCATTTTTTAAAACGCCCCTCCACGCCACATCCTTCCCGGGACGCCATGTCTACCAGCAGTTGTAGTTTCGAGGACCGGTGCGTGTCCATCCTGTCTTGCAAATTCTGTAAGCAAGTGCTCAGCTCTCGGGGAATGAAGGCTGTTTTGCTGGCCGACACAGAAATAGACCTTTTCTCAACAGACATCCCTCCTACCAAGTAAGTCCTACGCTAGCGGCGGGCAACGCACGGTAGCCTGTAACTAAAAATGGGAAAATGTTATGGCTTGGACCTCGGAGTCAACCAGCAGGTTATCATTTTGGTGTCGCAGCCACTCCCACCAGTCTGATGATCCCCTTGGAGTGTAACTAAGTGGGCAGACTGTCTGGACTTTAAAGTCTGTGGTTTAGCCAGAGCGGTCGGTCCTGATGGAATGCTTCGAGTCATGTGACCACACCCCTTAAGTTGGATCCCTGGCCTTAGGCCCTGCCCAACTATCCTGTCTCACTGGATCAAGGCCACGACCTAGACTCTAGGAAAGTCAAGCAAGCTTTTTTTTTTTTACTGTTGGAGAGGTCAAGTTTTTCATTTTTATCCATCGTTTTACACCCCTCCAAAAAATTCATAGTTTTGTACCATTATTTGCGATTGGCATTGCTTATTCCATTGTCCTTATCATTTAGTATTCTTGTCTCAAAAATCTCCTTTTCTGAGAGAGACTTAGATTTGTATGGGATGGAATTAAGACTTACCCCTTAAAGAATCCTTGTCTTCCATAAAGCCTATTTTGGATATTATGCATTCACTTGTGTAATTAAATCCTCTAATTGTTTTCAGTCACTACCCACTTTCAGGTGTAGTAGAGTGCTTAAGAATTTACTTCCTATTTGGGAAAACACACACACATTTTATTTAACTCAAATACACCTTTTTCTAGCTCTAAAAAGTATTTTTTCTCTCCATGGTCAACATAGCCCTTAAATGATTTTTCAAGATTTAGCTCTTTATTGAATCTATATCATTAAAGTGAAAGAGTGATTATCCAAAATATGGGTGAATAAGTAAGTATTCTTTGGACACAGCCAGAGGAGGCAGCTAATAGTTATAATAATTTAAAGTGAATTTCATTATAATAATAGAAGCTTAAAAACATTTTTTTAGCCTGGCTGGCTTGGCTCAGTGGTTGAGCATGAACCCATGAACCAAAAGGCCATGGTTCAATTCCTGGTCAGGGCGCATGTCCATGTTGCAGGCTCGATCCCCAGTGTGGAACATACAGGAGGCAGTTGATCAGTGAGTCTCTCTCATCACTGATATTTCTATTTCTCTCCCTCTCCCTCTCTAAAATCAATAAAAACATATATTTTTTTTAAAGTGTAATATAGTGAAAGTCGTGAACTCTTCCTCCTTTGTAATCTTTTCTGAACTGGTTCAAGTGTAGTCATTCCCAATGGCAAAGTTACGTATTGCAAAGATAAATGGGTTAATATTTAAGTATGTGTGTGTGGTGGGGGGAGGGGTTGAAAAAAGAAAAATCACTAGACAATACATCAGGAACCTACTATTGCAAAGGTCCTATGATTCGAATATTAACTCATTCATTTTTACAATAGCTATGGTAAGTGATGAGACAGTCATAAGAAGGTTCATTGTTAAAGGCTAGACAAGAGTCTAGAATACAGTTGTGTCTTTCTCATTGTCTATGCTTCCTTCTAGAAGTAATAAAAGTATGGAATAATGCTTGAAGATCAGTGAGCATATAAGATTTCTAAATGAAAGTTTTATCATATTGCGAGCTCACAAATATCAACTAACTTACAAAATGTACTATAGTTCTATTTCAGACTCACTTTTAGCTCTTTGGGCCTATAAAATTCATACTGAATCACAATCAAAAGTACATTTGATAGCAAGGACATGGAAAAATTGGAACCCTTGTGCACTGTTGGTGCTAATGTAATATAGGGTCGCTGCTATGGAAAAGCGTAACAGTTCCTCAAAAATTGAAAATAGAATTACCATATGATTCAGCAATCCCACTTCTGGGTATATATCCAAAAGAATTCAGTGCAGGACCTAGAAGATATATGTGCTCAGCCATGTTCTTAGCAGCATTATTCACAAAAACCAAGTGGTAGAAGCAACCCAAATGTCTGTCAATAGCTGAGCAAATAAACAAAATAAGGTATATGCAAACAATGAAATATCATTCAGCCTATCACGTACTACAATATGGATGACCTTGAGGCCAAATGCTAAGTGAAAATAAGCCATTCTCAAAAAGACAAATGCTGTATGCTTCTACCCTGTTTGCCCGAAAATAAGACAATGTCTTATATTAATTTTTGCTCCCAAAGATGCGCTAGGTCTTATTTTCAGACGATGTCTTATTTTTCCATGAAGAAGAATACGGTACACATTTATTCTTAAATGAAAATAAAGGAAATTTATTATACCTGTATACGGTATGGTAGAACGGTAGTTGTCAACACAAACCAGACAAACTGTGAATCCTACAGTATCAAGAATTTACTCATTTATTCAATGACTATCATGTCATCATCTTCTGGAACATCATCATAACAATCCAATTCCTGAATTTCCTATGACTCCATTTCTTTTAGAATCAGTGGACCAAATCTCTCATGTTTAGCCTAGGGGGCCTTATTTTCGGGGGGATGCCTTATATTTCACTCAGAAGGAAACCTGTAAGTAGGTCTTATTTTCAGAGGATGTCTTATTTTCGTGGAAACACAGTACTTATATGTGGTATCTAAAGCAAAGTAAAATGATGATTGCCAGAGCTGGGGGGAGAGGGAAATGGGGAATTATTTAATGGTCATAGGGTTTTAATTTTATAAGATGAAAAAGGTCTGGAGATTTATTATACAACAATGTGAATACACTTTACAGTTCTGAACTATACAGTAAAAATGGTTAATAAATTTTATGTTATATACATCTTACAATTTAGAAAACGTACATTTGACTATCTCTACACTTTTCTCTCTTCAGCACAGTGGACTTAATAGGAAGATGCTATTATACTGAAATCTGCAGATGTAAACTGAAGGACATCGCATGTTTAAAATGGTATCTATGACAATATTCTAGATAGCCGTGGGTTTGGGAGATGGGTGTTGACACCAAAGCAGATACAAAGGTTCAGTGGACTGCATTGAGCACCGGTTATAACCCTTGCAATGAGCCACTGAAAAACCATTGGTTACTTGGAGCTATTTTTTTAAAGGTCCTGTGACACTCTAAATTTGTATATGGTTTTACAATTTCTCAAAGTTCATTGACAAATATCTGCTTTAATTTTTAGAAAAAGGCAAGTCGTTCAGAGAGGGGAAAAGCACCTGGATTTAGTCATAAAAATTAGGTTTGAGTCCTGGCCCTACTCCTACTCTCTGTTTGATCTTGAATAAACTGAAAACTCTGAACCTCTTTATTTCCTTATTTAATTTCTATCTTAAGAAGATAAACTTGAGAAAATAGGAACTATCTTTTTTTGTTGTTGTTAATTCTCACCTGAAGATATTTTTTCCATTGATTTTTAAGAGGGGAGAGAGACATATAATCTGGGGAGCAGGTATCAAACCTACAACCCAGGTACGTGCCCTTGACTGGGAATCTTACCCATGACCCTTTGGTGCACAGGCCGATGCTCTAACCACTGAACATACCAGCCAGGGTATGTTCTTAAGATAGAAATTAAAATATCTTTTGTGTTTACCTTCCAGAGTTATGCAGATCAAATGAATTATGGATATTAAGAGGCTTGGTAAACTATAAGTTGCAACACAGATGAAAGTTATTACTATTATCTTTTGAGAAGTAAATTTGTGTTATTAGTCCCATTTTAGAGAGAAAAAAGTTGAGATTTTCTCATTCAAATGGGGTTTGGATTATAAATTATAGTTATAACAATTTAAGTTAGCAAACTCTTCTTTTGTGCTAATGACTAATTTTATTCATTCATTAGTCAATAAGATATTTAAATAAATGAGATATTGCATAGGCTAAGAAGTGCTCCAAAGGAAATAATAATAACGATAGAGAATAATAGAGGTTGGGAGAGTGGGTAAGAGCTATTTTTCATAGCATGGTAGGGAACACTCCTCCTGAGAGTTGAATCCTGAAGGATGAGAAGGAGACAGAAAGAATATTCTAGGCAGAAGGAACAGCAAGTACAAAGGACCCAAGGTAAGAAAAAGCTTTAGACATTCAGGGAATAAAAAGATGATGGCAGTGTGGCTGAGACTTTGTGAGCATCTGGGGAGAGTTGTATGAGCGCATTAGAGATGTAGTCAAAACACAGTTAATCTAGACCAGCGCTGTCCAAAAGAAATATGCAAGTCGTATATGGAATTTAAAATTTCCCAATAACCACACTTTTTTAAAGTAAAAAGAAACAGGTGACATTAATTTTAAACATGTATTTTATTTAACTCAATATATGCAAAACACTATCATTTCAATATGTAACCAATATAAAAGCATTATGAATGAAATGTTTTACGTTCTATTTTTTATTCTTATTCTTTCAAATCTGGCGTGTGTTTTATACTCCCAGCACATTTCACTTCAGGCTAGCCAAATTTGAAGTGCTCAGTAGCCACATTTGGAGAGTGCAGATCTAGACCTTGGTATGAAGGAGTTTGTTTTTCTTTTTGGCCAGTGGGAAGCCATTGAAGGGGTTCTAAGAAGGGAACAAAATGATCTGGTATGTCCCTACTCGAATGTTAGCTCCATGAGAACAAGAACCTTGTCCACCACTGTATTCCTAACACCTAGCACAGAATACAAGCTCAATAACATCAGTTGAATGAATAAGGACAGGAATGAAAGCCACAGGAATGAAATAGTCTTACAAATAACTGCCAGTCCTAGTCCAAGAACAACTTTTGTTTTCATTCGTTTGCCTATCAATCAAATTATAATTTGAAGACATATTTTAGGTGGCTGGTACCTCTTTTTTTTTTAATGATCAAATTTATTTTATTATTTTTAAATATTATTTTATTGATTTTTTACAGAGAGAAAGAGAGAGGGATAGACAGTTAGATACATCGATGAGAGAGAATCATTGATCAGCTGCCAAGGATACATGCCCTTGACCGGAATTGAACCTGGGACCTTCCAGTCTGCAAGCTGATGCTCTATCCATTGAGCAAAACCGGTTTTGGCTGGTACCTCTTATATAGTAATTTTTAATAGGCCCTCACAAAAATAACTCACTCTTCCATCTCCCTGGATGAGAACAAGCTATAATAAGAATTTTTACACCTTAAGGCATAAGCAGTTCATGTAGTCATTTTTGTTTAAGTGCCTACTAAAACATGCCCAGTATATTCAATCTATCTAATAGTAACCAGATAGGAAATAAACAAAACCCTGTGGAAGAGTGAGGTACTTATAATCAGATGCATCATCGTGAAGACAGAAAAACTTGTGCAACTTTCTGTAGAGGCTGTAGATTTGCTTTACTTCTGCATTCCCTCAAAAACGCTGAGACTAAAATTAGAGCAGCCAGCTTGTGTTTGGTTTTCAGGGGCTCATGCTGGCTTCCTACTCCTCCATCTGCTGAGACAGTTTTTAGGCCCTGGCATGGAGCTAGCACATGTAAGAACCCAACTTGCCACTGTCCTGAGGATAGCAAAAACCTTTTACCCACAGACCTGAGTTCATTTCATATGTTTTGTGTGTACAGCACATCCATTTAGAGTTCTTTACAGAGCAAATCACAACCTTATGTCATCTAAAAGCTAGCTTCTCAAGGGAAAGTGCGTAAAATGATACTAGCAAAGAAATGGAGAAAATGTTAGTATTATTTCACTTAAAGACTATTTTGCCACTTGACTTGACAGTAGTCCTGTAATCATTATTAGAATAAATCGCATCTCAAAGATCCCAGCAATGGAGGATGTCAGGGGGAAATGAGATCTCTATGTCATCTATTTACATTAAAAATGCTTACATGGTCAGGTATTACACAGCCTCTAACAATATTTACTTTCTTTTTTAGTGGAAACATTGTGGGCTATCATGTGATTGTTCCATGTTGCTCCTGCCTTCTTTCCTGTAACAATGGGCACTTCTGGATGTTTCGCAGCCAGGCAGTTTATGGTATTAACAGACTAGACTCTACTGGTAAGAAACAATTGACTGGACACATTCCTATAGCATTTGTCAATCAATATCTGAGTGAAACTCCTGGTAGATCATTTCAGGACTCCCTCTGAGACTTTACCTGGGTTGGATCTTCTAGACTGAAATGTCAATCATATTATCCCAAACATTTACTTATGGATACGAGGAGCCAAAATTCATTGCTGTTTCTATTTTCATCATTTTATTTAAGAGCCTCAAACTTAGCTGGATTTGTTGGGACCCCTCACCCTTTTGTTTTTTTCCCAGAGAGAAAGGGAGAGAGAGATAGAAACATCAATGATGAGGGAGAATCATTGATCTGCTGCCTCTTTCAAACCCATGACTGGGGATTGAGCCCACACCAGGCATGTGCCCTTGAACAGAATCGTACCTGGAACTCTTCAGTCTGCAGGCTAACGCTCTATCCACTGAGCCAAACCATCTAGGGCTCTTGGCCTTTTTGAATTAAACTATTTTTTTAAATCCTCACCTGAATATAAGATTAGAGAGAGAGAGAGAGAGAGAGAGAGAGAGAGAGAGAGAGAGAGAAACATCAATGTGAGAGGAAAACAATTGATTGCCTTTTGTAAGCACCCTGATCTGGAATCCAACCAGCAACCTGTGGGTACACAAGACAATTCTCAACCAACTGAGCCACTCCAGCCAGGCTTAAATTAACATTTTAAATGCTTTAAATTCTTATCTTGATACATATTAAGGCTCAAGATAATTTTGAAAGATTGTATATATGATAGTCAATTGTGTATGGGTGTGTGTGTGTGTGTGTGTGTGTGTGTAAGAGAGGGATGGAGGGGAGGCTGAGGCCGTGAGGAGTTGGGAGGGAAGATGACTAAATAACATGTATTTGGTGATACTGCTTTAAGACAAAAATGGACATTTTGACATATGTATTAATAAATTATGATGGAATTTTAGTCAAAGGAAATATTTAATATCAATATGTCATACTAATTATTTATAGAAAAATACTGCAACCAACTATTAAAAGATATTTACATAATACATTTTATATTGTCTAGAGCAGTGGTCAGCAAACTGCGGCTCACGAGCCACATGCAGCTCTTTGGCCCTTTTAGTGTGGCTCTTCCACAAAATACCAAGGCCTGGGTGAGTCTATTTTGAAGAAGTGGCATTAGAAGAAGCTTAAAAAATTTGGGTCTCCAAAGAAATTTCAATCGTTGTACTATTGATACTTGGCTTTGTTGACTAATGAGTTTGCCGACCACTGGTCTAGAGCCATTTAAGTTTTGCTATAGGACACGTTTTCAATGTCTAACACCTATTTATACAACAGACCAAGTTGACATTTAGTGGGACATTTTTAGTGGAAACAAGTTTAAAGAACTTGACAATCCAAATTGGCATTAACACTCGGGTTTTTTAATGTATATTTTAGTCTTCTTCAGAACTTAAAATATACTTTTAAAAAAAAAATAGTATGATTTCCTTCACAGACTAAAAAGAAGATCACAAATTGTAAAAGCTAGGTCGTCAGGGTCTTTAAACCCTCCAATTACGGTTGAGTTTTTAGAGACTCTGATTTTTCTTTTTTAATCACCTGGCATTTAATTGTGGCTCTCAACCATGTGGGGGGTCTTAATTTAAGATTCTAGCATGTTAAGAGGGCCATTTTTTTTTTACCACAATTTGTTTATTCATTCACCTGTTCGTGGACATTTGAGAAAATTCCAAGTTTTAGCTTTTCCAAACAAAGCTACTCTGAACATTCAACTATAAGCCTTTGTGAGAACCTGTTTCCATTTCTCTCCGATATGTTACTTTTTTCTTTTTCTATTAAAGTATTTTTCAATTACAGTTGGCATAAAATATTACATTATTTCAAGTATGCAGCATAGTGATTAGACATTTACATACCTTACAAATTGAACACCCAGATAAGTCTAGTACCCATCTGCCAATAGATAATGTTACTTTTTTTTTGTTTCTATTTTGTTTTATTTTATTTTTTTATTGTTTCTACTTTTTTAAAATTTATTTTTACATATTTTATTGATTTTTTTTTGCCCCCCTCCCTCCCTCCTACACATCCCCTCCCTCCCCAGAGTTTTATGTCCATTGGTTGTACTTATATGCACGTATACAAGTCCTTCGTTGATCTATTATCTCCCCCAGATCTTCCTCCCCTCCCCACTGTAATTTGACAGTCTGCCTGTTGCTTTACTTTCTCTATATCTGTCTCTTGGTTCATCAGTTTATAATGATCTTTATCATCCACCAATGAGTGAGGTCATGTGGTGTTTCTCTTTCATTGATTGGCTTATTTCACTCAGCATGATGTTCTACAATTCCATCCAGGTTGCTGCAAATGATGAGAATTCCTTCTTTTTTATGGCAGCATAGTATTCCATTGTGTATTATAGATGTACCATAGTTTTGGATCCAATCATCTGGCACCTAGGCTGTTTCCAAATTCTGGCTATTGTAGATTGTGCTGCTATGAACATAGGGGTGCATATATCCTTTCTGATTGGTGTTTCTAGTTTCTTGGGATATATTCCTAGAAATGGGATTACTGGGTCAAATGGGAGTTCCATTTTCAGTTTTTTGAGGAAACTCCACACTGTTCTCCACAGTGGTTGCACCAGTCTGCATTCCCACCAGCAGTGCACGAGGGTTCCTTTTTCTCGGCAACCTCGCCAACACTTGTCGTTTGTTGATTTGTTGATGTTGGCCATTCTGACAGGTGTGAGATGGTACCGCATTGTTGTTTTGATTTGCACCTCTCGGACAATTAGTGACTTTGAGCATGTTTTCATGTGCCTTTTGTCTTCCTTCTGTCTTCTTTTGAAAATATTCTAGTTAGGTCCATTGCCCATTTTTTAATTGGATCATTCATCTTCCTTTTATTTATTTGTATAAGCTGTCTGTAAATGTTGGAGATTAAACCTTTATCAGTGGTATTATTTGCAAATATGTTCTCCCACACCATGGGCTTTTTTGTTGTTTTGTTGATGGTTTCTTTTGCTGTAAAAAAGCTTTTTATTTTGAAGTAGTCTCATTTGTTTATTTTCTCTTTAGCTTCCATTGCCATAGGGGCAGTATCAGTGAAGAAGTTCTTTTGGCATACGTCTGAGATTTTGCTGCCTGTGGATGCTTCTAGTATTTTTATATAGAGAGTTCTTTTTAGGTCAGTGAAATATGTCGTTGGTATTTTAACAGGGAGTGCATTGAACCTATAGATTGCTTTAGGAAGTATGGACATTTTGATGATGTTGATTCTACCAACCTATGAACATGGTATGTTCTTCCATCTCCTTACATCTTCCTCTATCTCTTTTTTCAGTGTCGTGTAGTTTTCCACAAATAGGTCCTTTAGTTCCTTAGTTAAATTTATTCCTAGGTATCTTAATTTTTTTGGTGCGATGGTAAATAGAATTGCTTTTTTAGCAAGAGGGCCATTTTTGAGCAAGGACTTACCTGAACTTCCTAGGTGAGATACAGGTTTCTAATTCAGGTTTCCAGTTTTATATTTGTGTTGCTCATGGGACACATTAAAGGAAGTTTCTGCTTTGATAGTATTTCCCCTGCTTCATGGAATTTAAAACACAGGGTGGAGATTTTTCAATTTTGATTTACTTTTTAATATTGGTCAATTTTTCAAAGATAAAAGCCCAGCATTCTTCCATTTGCATTGAATCTAATCCATGAGAAACAAATGTATCACAGGGTTTCCTTCCTCTCTTCTTAACAGAGGAAGGAAGGTGCTGCTTCTGACAGATCCAATCACTTGGTTTATTTTTTCTCCTTTGAACCAATTGTGCTGAGCTACTCATGTCTCTGTGTATTGACTCCAAGAATATTAGACTTCTCCTTTGTAACCCTAGTACTGTGATTTAAAGCAGGATTTTCTAGATGCAACAGGGTTCTCATGGCTGTTGGAACTGTCCTTAAAACACCTGAATGAGCAGCATCAAAGGAGTACATACACAGCTTTATAAAATTCTAGAATGTTTACACTGAAAGGGTCCAAGAAGTCTAAGTTCTAGGCTAGTCTAACCATATGGACCTGATTTCCTAAGATGTTCCTGAGGAAGCTTGAAAACCTCAGCTCATCTTCACTGGGGTGAGTAAATGCCTCCAAAGGCAAATTCACTTCAATACTCACTGACCTTTATGGGTTCTAATTGGCCATTAGGTTTGGCCTAGTGATTCCTTACTATCCTGTCAGCTCTCAATGCTATCTAACCAGAAGCAAAACACCACTCATTATTGGGGAAAGGGTGTTTTATATTATAAATACTTTAAACAGACAAAAAATTATGGAAAACAATATAATAGGCATCTGTATACATCAAACAGATGCTAATTTCTTGCCTTATTTAGATTCCAGTATCTCAACTAAGATAATTGATTGTTTCTGTTGTTTCAGCAATACAACAGTGCACATTCTTGTACATTTCTCCTCAGGCACCTGTGCAAAATGGGCAGTAAGAGGAAAGGATGGGTGATGGGTCATATTTGCAATATATATACTTTTTTTTAATTCACACAATGGAATACAGAAAAGAAAATGAGCTAAATCTGCACATACGGGTATAGGCAAATCTCAAAAACATAATGTCTAATGAAAAGAGCAATTTAGAGCCCTGGCTGGGTGTCTCAGTTGGTTGGAGCATCGTCCCACACACCAAAAACGGTTGCGGGTTCAATTCCCCATCAGGGTACATACCTAAGTTTAGGGTTGGATTCCTGGTCAAGGCATGCATGGGAGGCAACCGATCAATGTTTCTTTCTTTCCCTTCTTCCTCTTTTTCTAAAATCAATAAACATATCCTCAGGTGATAATTAAAAGAAAAAGTAAAATTAGAAAAGATACATATAATACCATATTATAAAATTTTAAATACACAAAACAACAATATAGATAGTCTGGTTGCGTGCATTTGTAATAAAAGTAGCAAAAACATCTATGGTGTACTGGTAAGGGGTGACAACTGAGTTCAAACTAAATCTCCAAATCCCGGCTCCTTCCATTCCACTATGTGGCCACTCTCTTGGTATGTGTGGAGTGGATATCCAGACTTGCTAAGTCGCTTGGGCCCACACTGCCACTGGACAGCTTGAGATTTACTTTCTTACAAGACTTCACTGGCTCTTCTAAAGGTCATTTTTTTTATTTTTCAAATTTCAAGTTATAATATAGTGTATGCCCAGAGTAAACCATCTCATTATCCTCTACCAAATATGTGGTCTTATATTATATACAAATGCTGGATTCTTCAATATGAAAGCTGACTGACCTTTCACAATGAGGTTTTAGGTAGTTGTTTTATTTATTGTATTGACAGCGACAATCTAGTTCTAAAGTTGACAATTCTACCTTGACAACCTCTAGATTAAAATCCACGTATATCAAAGACTATTGTTCATATTATAACTGGCTCCAAAGCCTTGCTTTTTTAATCAGAAAAAAAAGGCACCAGCTATTTCCATGCTTGTTGAAGAGATGAGTGTTTTCCTTCCAAAGAGATATTTAATCTAAAGGATCTTGTGAGATCTCCATTCTTAAAAATCATTAAAATAGATTTGAAAAGTATCACTGTACAGTTATTATGGCATAATGTAGCTGGAGGCAAGGTCTGAGTAAATGGATTTGTAAAATCCATTTGAGTCCTAAGATTTTAGAATTCAAGCCCTTGCATAAAATAGTTGAAGAATATGTATGTCTTTGCCGAGACCGGTTTGGCTCAATGGATAGAGCGTCAGCTTGGGGACTGAAGGGTCCCAGGTTCGATTCTGGTCAAGGGCATGTACCTTGGTTGCGGTCATATCCCCAGTAGGGGGTGTGCAAGAGGCAGCTGATCGATGACTCTCTCATCGATGTTTCTAACTATCTCTCTCCCTTCCTCTCTGTACAAAATCAATAAAATATATTTAAAAAAAGAATATGTATGTCCTAGATGATTATATTAAATAATTTTATTTGTGGTACAGCTTTTCAATGCTTTTTCTCTTTACTGCTAACACTGTGGTTTAATATAACAATATTAACATAAAATTTTCATATATCATGTTCTGAATTATAATGGTAATGAGTACCGAGTAACTGTGACTTTTTCTTTTCAGGTGTTAACTTCCTACTTTGGGGCAACTTGCCAGAGCTAGAAGAGAGTGCAGATGAAGACATGTTAGATATCTCAGCAGAGGAGTGTATTAGATGAAAGGAGAATAGACCTATGATAGTTATAATATTCAGACTTTTTGCTATTTAAAATGGATATTAATGGATGAACTTTAAATTGTTAGTAAGGATTTTCCAGTGATTTCTTTTTCTAGAAAACCAAAATGGGGCATTTGTTGGTTTATTTATTTGATGTCTTAAATTAATTACCTGCTTAATTTGAGCCAATGTAGTTCTTCTACTTCCACTTCTTTTTCTTCCTCTCTCCATTCATCTGCCCAGTATAGGTATATTCTTAACTTCACATAAGAGACTTTTTTCATGTGCCACTCAATACCTCCTAATCTGAGAATTTTTTCTTACAACTAGATGCCAGGTATATTATTTTACATTCCTGAATAAGGGGCATTAGTACCCATACATATATCAGCCATGCATAAATCCATGCATAAATACACATACACACACACACACACACACACACACACACACACACATATATATATATATATATATATATATATATATATATATATATTGCTCAATTTGGAAATAAACCTTAACAGAGAATTTTAAAAAAACAAGCTGATAGGTTTCCATGGGTACTAGTTATCATATGTTATTTTGGTGACAACTACTTTAATGGGGAAGAATACTTTGTGAATCAACAAATATAATACATTTTTAAATATGTGGAGAAATCTTTTTGATTCCTCAACATGATGTCAGATAAATGAATTTGTCAGAAAATTATCAATATATACTGTTTACCAATATTATTTATTTACCTTCTTTTAAAGTCATATGGATATTGTATTATGAAAGCCAGATAAACCAAACCTCTGCCTTTAAGTTACCTCATCCTCTAGGGCTTTCTCTGTAAATAGCAAATCTTAAATGAGTAGTCTCAGTCCCAACCCTTAAATAGAAAAACAAAACCAAAATCTAAAGAAGTGGTTCGTTTAAGCCCTTGTGCATTATAAAGAGAGTGTGTTTTTTGTAAGCTACATTCTGGGCCACACAAAAATAGGAAACTGGGATAGTATTGGATTCTCGTTTTATGTAGAGCTAAAATCAATGTATAGCCTCAGCTAGTATCACAGCTGTAGGTGTTTTGTCAATAATGATACCAAAACAGATTTAGTTGCGGTTTTATAAATAAACTATTGTCCTGAAAATGATCAGCCTTTCTTTAATTTTTTATTGTACCTACTTTTCTTACCTAAAAATATAAAAGTATCGAATATAGTAGCTAACATGTTTTGAGTGCTTACTGTGTACCAGACACTGTTGTAAATGCTTTACATATTTAATTCACTTATTCCTCTTACTCCATAGGAAGTAGATGTCATTGTTTCTCCTTTTTTTAACTGATGAGGCAGGTGAGGCCTAGAGAGGTGAAGTAGTTGGTCCAAGGCCACTTGCCTGGTCACAGGTATGGCCAGATTCAAACTCAGGCCGACCTGCTCTTCATCTTTATATGGTTGCTCCTGAGCAACTTCAGGTGGTCATCAACTAGGTAGTTTTATTTGTCCGGATAACGACTGTCACGTTATGTGAGGGCCTCAGTGACTAGTTTCAAGATTGAGCAAACTCACGCTGGGTCATAGGGTAAAAGTGACCTGTGGACTCTGGACAGCCATTTACTGGGAACCAAGATAAGAGATGTTCAGGAAATGCTGTTACTAATACCTGGGAAATTGAACAGATTAACTGAAGCAATATACGTAATATAGTATCTTTCACACTGACCATCAGCACTGACAGGGTCACCAAAACAACCAAAGGGACGAGTGAAACTGTTTTTTGAATTGGGATTTTTTTCTTTAAGCTTAAAAGACTTTCTGAAACAAGGTGGCATAGTGGATAAATAAAAATATATATAAATTGATAGTATAGTACATATACTGCTTCAGTTAAACTGTTCAATTAGAGAAGAAACCTTTAATGCTAAAGTAGAGAATGTGGAAAATTTAAATTCAACCGAGTTCATCTGGTTTCCTCCTGCTCATGCCTGGTTGACTGGAGAGGCTCTTTGAAGAGCAAAAACAAGATAAGCACTGATTGAAGCAAGCCCCAAATGCAATTCCACTCCAGGAGGAAAATATTTTGAGTTACACAGCTACTTTTTGGCAAACTGAGCTATGGGAAAGCCAAGACAAAGCTGAAAATGGGTTCATAATGTTTTATCTAGAGAAATATATTCATGACACTTTTTTAATAAAAGCAAATTATACGCTCTGGGTCCAAAGACCTAAAGCAAAATCATATACATAGATTTAGCATACATTCTCTAGTCCAAGCAAATTTCTAGGCCTAGAAAATCCATTGATGCTTTGGTTTTCTTCTAATACTTGATTCAATTCAACAAACCTGTATTATGTTCCTGTGGTGTACTAAGAATTGCACAGCGACAGGCTCATGCTTGCCTTCATGGTATTGGGGAAAGAATAGAACTTCTACTTAATGCATAGGGTTAAGTGATTTAACAAAGGCGTTCTTAAAGTTCAATGACTCCATAAATGAAAGAACACTCATTCTGAGTAGCAGGAGAGAGTGGGAGTTGAGAAAACTACACAGAAAAAAAAAAAAAAAAAAGATACATGAGCCAGGTTCTTAAGCACTGTTACGGGTTTGCCAGCTGGGATAGAAATTCTGGGCAGAGAAAATGGTGTAAAGAAATGGACCAGATTTAAAAGTATCTGGCTTATACGGTAAATTATAAGTGGCCTTCTACACCTGACACAATATGTAATGAGAATTCATTAGAAGATAAAGCTATCAAGGAAGTTTGGGGACATGTTATGAAGATTATTCTGTGCCATTATAAGTTTAGACTTGATCCAGTAGCAATGTAGAGTTATTAAAGTTTTTAAGCAAGAGAATAAAAGATCAGATTTAGAATGCTAGCTCTAATGGTAACATGCAATCAAGTTTAGTTTCCTACTGTCCTTTTTTGATGCACTTAACAACTTGATCATGAAAATTATATTTATTGCTTTTATCCTTTGAACATATATAGGCTTTTAAGTTTCCTGAATTTCTTGCCTTTCATGAAACATCTGGTCTGCAGTGGACCAGTGCGCTTTTTTCCCCTGTTCCATCTTGTCATTCTGAAGTTCAGAAGTTCAAAGAAGGGACAGTGAGTCATCAGTTCAGTCGCTATGGCTTTCCCCCAACCCCCTTTATCTTTTTCCTCAAGTTATTTTCTCAATCTCAAACTCAATCACCGATGAGTGAAGCCTAATATTAAAGCCATAATATTTTGAATAATTCCTGGCCCTGAAAATCAGGTCTTTAAATATTACTAATATTTAATAATCCCTGGCTCTGAATATTACTAATCTGGGAGATTATCCCACAAAGAACTGCTCTTTTGACCTCTGAGTCACATGTGGCTGATAAAGAATGATCTGTATTTCTTTTCTCCATAAGGAGGACGTGACTATAATACATAAATCATTACCTATTAAATATCTAATTTATCTATAATAATAAAAGCATAATATGCTAATTACGCTGGACGATCTTCTGGATGAAGCCACAGCTGTGAGGGAAACCTGGGTCCTGGGTGCCAGAGGGAAGCCAATGCCAGCAGCCGGGGAAAGGAAGGCCTGGTCTTGCACAAATTTTGTGCATCAGGCCTCTAGTTAGAACATAAAAGGAGAGTGGGGAAAGGCAGAAGAGAATATGGATTAAGTAGTCTTGCTTCAGCCCTGGCCCGTGAGTTCAGTTGGGAAGAGTGTTGTCCTGATACTCCAAGGTTGCAGGTCCTGGTCAGAGCGCACACAAGAATAAACCATTGAGTGTATAAATAAGTGGAACAACAAATCTCTCTCTTTCTCTTCCCCCTCTCCTCCTCTTTCTCAAATTAATTTTTTTAAATTAGTCTTGCTTAGGTGAAGCATTACTCGATGAAGGCTTTCTCTATTTTAACATTCATGCTTATAAAAGGAAATGGTTTCCTTTTCTGCCTTTTTTTTTTTTCTTTAAAAGCAGCCTAAACCATAGTTTCTTTCTTGCCTGGTATTGAGTGTATGCCAAATCTACCCTAAAATGCACAGATGGAAAAAATTAGTCTATGTCTGTGGTACCTCTGGGGTTGAATATTTTTAGGACTTAAATCTTTAGCTAAAGATTCTTTCTTCCAAGACTCTCATAGAATTATTTTATTGACATCCAATGGATAAACTTGCTGAGATAAAAATTAATATCATGTGTTTGTATATCCCTTTATAGTTTATTATGATCTTTCACATACACCTTAATTTAGTCCTCAAAATAACCTTGTAAATTATTCCCATTTTACCAATTAAGAAAGAAACCCTTAGTCTCAACACTTAGAGTTAGAGGAATTTAAACTTGAATGTGGGCTTTCTCATCTTAGTTTAGGATTCTGTCTACCTCCTTAACCTGCCCTTAACCCAAAGTCCATGTTTCTCTCACTAGATGTAAAACTTAGGACACATTCTTTTTCACTTTCAACCTCAAAGCCAAACTACTCTCATTAATTAAACTATTCTCATTAATTAATTAATCTATTTGTAATCTATACAAATCTTACTGAATGCCTAAAGTAGGAAAAATGGAAGCTGAGGATAAGACCAAGCCACTGCTCTCATGAGGAGCTAACACTATGTTGAGGAGAAGGAAGAAAGTCAGCTAATGTTTATTGAGGATTTACTGTATGCCCATCACTGTTCTAAGTACTTTATATGGAACAACTCTAAGGGGTAAATCCTATCATTATCCTTACCATACAGTTCAGAGAACAGGTGTAGAGGAGTTAAAGAGTATGCCCAATGACACCACTCTGAGATTTGGAGGAGCCAGAATGAACGTGTCTTCTTTTTATTTTCCAATGTAGTTGTCTTCCATCCAAATAAAATCCAGTGTTTCATCAACACGCTTCCTGTACACATCTTTCCCTATTAGACCTTAGTTGATGTGAAGTTAAGATGGTGGCACGAGCATCTCCCTTTTCAATCAAGGAGATGTGGTATGCTTATAAATGATAAGAATACTAGTTTTATACACAAT